TGCCCTGCAATTATCTCATCTTCATGTTGCCGGAATCGGTCTATCCCGCCTTGTCCCACTGTCGAGCTTTTCCTTCCCTCTTCGGCCAATCATTCTCAACCAACTGGTCCGTTTCTGTGACTCCCCCACATGCAGATGCTTTTACGATTAGCTCACCTGCCTCTGCCCATCTTTTGCCTCCTTGCCTTGGCTAACGAAGGAGAAGGTGGAGAAAGATGGGCCTGACCTGACAGAGCAAATTATACGTTAATCTTATCAGGCCCGAGGTCAGTCTTTTTGGCGAAATTTTCGGAACATAAATTTGCCCTTCAAACTGTTTGTCACTATAACCTCAACTTCGGCCTATTCCATGTTGCTGATATGCCCTAAATTCACTTTTACACAAGCTTGGTTTGTGCAAAAAATTCTTTTGACGATCTCGCTCTTGCGACTGGCTCGTCGGAACAGGACGATCTTGAAGAGAATACCCTGTCACACTGACACATTTTAGCTCGATCCAATGGACGATGCCGAATTAGATGCAGCGAAACATTTGTGAATGTATAAAGTCAACGCGCCGATGCTGACTACTGTGCTGGAGGGCGCAGAAGGAAATAGCCCCTTCATAGTCTTCCTGTCACCATGCCCGAGTTGCGAAAACTAGTTCAAATCAACTTTATAGATATGAGATACATTCACTGTATTTCGTTTGAGGTGCTGAGGGTAGGCAGTTGAATTTTTCTTTGGATTTCTCATAGTCTTGTTTCCCAAAAGATATTCTCCTCCAGAATGGACTGCCATTTTAAACTCGCCCCAGCGGGACTCGAAGCGTATAGTGCAACATGAAATCTCGAAACATTAACCGCTATACCAGACCGCCACGAGGGTTCTTGGATCACAGGGATTCTTTCATGTCCCATTTTGTGGTGGGTTTGTCGATTAGCACAATTATCTTTGCCATAACGGAATTCGAGTCCCCTTGGGGGTGTTGGTGAGACCTAGAGAAGTCGAAATTGCAACCCAGCACGAGTGCGAATACCTGGTTGGAAGCAAACCTTCGTGAAATTCAATTGAAACGCAAGATTTACTCAAATCATTGTAGGAAAATTGTACTAGCAGTCATTTATCATCTTAAACGAGATAAGGTGAATACATAGCCTACATATGACCTACTGGTAGTCTCGAAAATCTAATAGGAAACAACTCTTTAACTATTTATGTTGGTCCCGACGCCAAGTACCGATTTCTTTACTTGCCTCAAAAAGATTCTAAAAACAATTATTTTTCTGCAACTCACACTTGCTTCATGACAGGTAATTCCGTCCGTGCACGAGGCCTTCACGAGAGCCGAGCCTTCAAGCGTCCCTCCACCTCTGGATTCTTCGGCCAAGCGTCAACTAGCGAGACGGGATCACTGATAACGCCCTCCAGACAGCAGCTTAGCCCTTCGGGTCGATTACCATCACCATCCACCAAGCAGCATCAACAACACCACCATAACAACCACTACAGCCCACTCGACCAGCATAGCCACCATACTCCACAAAATCCACGTATGAATCAGCTTCATCATCATCATCATCATCATCCTCCTCCTCCCCATCCTCATCAAAACCAGCAGCAGCATCACACTTTTCAGCCTCATCAGCTGCCGCTACTCCAGCCACCTGATGGCGAAGAGGAGAGGGAGGAGGAGACCGAGAACGAAACCGAGCCAAACACGCCACCAAATGTTGGCCATTCGAGCAGCCTTGGGCCAAATGGAGCAGGAGGATTCAGAGAGTCAGTGAACCTCTTAAATGCGATACCAAACTCTACTGGATTTGCTTTCCCAGTATACCCTTCAAGCGCGTTTTTAGCCTCATCCTCCAGCACCACAGCCTCCAGTTCTTCTGCACCCTCTTTGTCCGTGAACTCTCTGACCTCTCCCCACTCTTCCTTCAATCTCACATCCTCAAATATTTTCCCAACCTCCTCTTCGCCATCAGCCTCCACCCCCAATACTCCGTCGTCACACTCCTCCTCAATGCCAACGCCTCTGCCCTCGGCCCACCTTCTGCCTCAATTCGACCCAGGTCTTCTCTTCAATTCAGCACTTTTACCTCCTTGGCTCTATAACGCTTCACGTGGCTGCATGTCTTCTCTTTCAGTAGGCGCGACTGCTGCTGCTGCTGCAGCTGCAGCAGCAGCTAGCACCAACTCCGGTGCCAATGGGCTAATGTCACCAACCGCCTCCTCTTTGATCCACCTGTTCTCGAAGCCAGGAGACCTGGCCGCCAAGGTGACTCCCTCTTTGGATGCCATAGCTCAAACTCTTCAGCAGGCTGGCATTCGGTCGGCCAACAGGACTCCAGCCAGCCCTGCCTCTCAACACGCCTCGTCTTTGCAGCCTCCTCCTCCTCCTCCTTTGAATGCCTCTTCTTCGTCTGGTCTGAAGAACTTCTCCAATAATCTCACTGCCAGTATCCCCTCCACGTCCGCAACCGCGTCCAAGAGCCAGACTTCCAAAATCCCACGTTCTAACCACTCAAGAAGTGAAGAAACCGCGTCGCTCCTTCAGTCTCCTGCAGCATTTGGATCGCACAACTTCCTTGCAGCCTTTTTGGCTTGCCTGCAAAAGTCGGCTGCACGATCCCGCCATGCGGATTCTCTTGAAGTTAACAGCCTGCACAACGGTCTCGATGCTGCCTCTTCACTTGAAGACTGCAGCGGAGGAAGCCTTCTAAGCCTGGCAACTGTGTCTGAGGCGACAGACACGAGTGAACCGGCCAGACAGCTGAATCCGTTTTCCACAGGTCTCTCGTTCACCTCAAGTGGCAGCCACCATTTGCCATCAGATACCTTTCAGCTTGGCCAATTTTCCTGCCACCCCCCAGCTTCATCTCTTCCCCCTCCCCCTGCTCCACCACTATCTCTGCCTCCTCTACCGCCTCCCCCACCTCCGCCTGCATCGGTCCCAGCAACCCTGCCCAGTTCCGCATGCTCGATTCGCTCCTCACCCTCAAACTCCTTTTCTATTTCCGCGCTGACTGCAGGCTCCTCATCTTCTCCCGAGCCAGTTAGCTCACCACCGGGTTCTCCATCACGCCTTTCGGCAAGACACCAAACCTCCACCACCTCACCCAATTGCCTGACTCCATTTTCTGTCCCCGGACTGTCCGAGTCTCTGGCCGAGGCTGAGGCAAACTCGCAACCCGGATCCTTAGACGTCTCGCCTCAAGTTCCCGTCCATCCGAGTGACAGTCCCAACCTGGCGTTCTGCTCTTCTTCGCCAGAAACCAATAGTCGTAGCCACCATCCTCGACATAATCATCAAGACCAGCGACAGCAGAAGCTGTTGGATATATCCGCCGATAGCGAAGCCATAACTCCACCCAGAATAGAAACCATCCCGTCTGCATCCAGTACTGAGCAGCGACATAAGGTCATTAAGTTAGAAGGCCAAATTAAAGAAAAGGATATAAAAGAGGCCAAAGAAGGGACAGATAGAAAGGATGCAGAACAAAGAAGCCCAAGTCGTGGTAGGTATGGTGGTGCATTTGGCATACACATCGGTTTGAAGAGGGCGCTCGAGGGCAACTTATCCAAAAATGAGAATGCGGCAGACGAAGAGGATGAAGAGGCAAGATCGCCCAACTCCTCTACTCAGGCGCCCCCCATTCTATCGCCTGTGCAAGCAGAAGGGAAGCCGATCGAATAAAGCAATTGTGCTCAATAGAGTGGCTAGTTGCCATAAAAGTCTTTTCTTATATTAAAAATCCCTTCTTGCCAGGACTGCCTCAAAGTTTCTCAGGCCCTCAGACTCATTTGACTCTCTTCCTACTCTCGCTAAAAGCAGATGACTACACTTCATCTATTCTCTGCCTGTGATTTATATCACCCCGGCTACACCATCGATTTTGGGTCACTGGGAAATCTTAAAATGATCTGATCCCAACCACGGCAAAAGTGCGTAGAGCACTCACAGTGCCACCTCATCTCTGCTCTCCAGAAGTGTCATGTTGGCGGCCATTCGAATCCTTTATCAAGCCGAATGACTTGCTATAGCCTAGGCGCAACAAATGTTAAAAGGCTTTAGAAAAGAGGATCTGGCCGTTTCTCAAAAGATCTTTTGGCACTTCAACCTTATACCTAGATGCAGCTTTTTTGCATCATTTATTATGCATATATACATATACATAAATATTTATTTGCATACCTAGTTTATATCATGGAATGATGTAGCTCATAATTCAGAATAGAAGTGATCAGCCAGGATGAAAACTCGTAAGAAATTCTACTATTTGATACTAATCATTTAGTTTTTATCCATACCCTCTTTTCGAAATGTGTTTTTCTCTCCTCCTGTAAATGAGCCTTACTTTTGCCTCAATAGCTCTGGAACCCTCCTTTTCTGACTGCATTTTTCCTCCTTAAGCCGAATATCGCCTTCTCACCCTTTCTAATTTTGCACATTTCAATTTTTCCCACTTCAGCAGAATGTATCAACCTAGCATAAACTCAGTGCATATTACGCTTTAAAGGGGGAGTCTGCGAATGGCAAGCCCTTCCATCCGTCGAAATTAAAATGTCCAAATGTGCAGTGCGAAGTCGTAAAAGAGCATTCAACTCCCTTAGTTCCTGGGACTCTGGCTGAAATTCATACTCTGTCCCAGAAGATCAAACTGTGATGCATTCAATGAGTGCATTATTAAAACCCCTCTGATAAATTGTATTGTTATTTCGGATTTGGGTCTGGTATTGCTGAATATGCTGTCATTATTTACATCGAAAGAAAGTAATATCGGGCGCATCAGTAGGAGGCAATCGGTCAAAAATATTTCACATAGATTTAAGTCAGTAGACATTTCCATGTGAAAGTGAAATTTAAAAGAACCATTTTTGTAATTGATAGCCAAATATATCTCAAAGTAGGGGAAGAATTTTCGGGTGAATTGTTAATTTCAGCTCAAGCATAAGGCGTCATGTGACTCTTTTAAATGGTTGTAAATTACTGGGCTAATATTGGTTCTTGATACAAA